TTTATCCTGCAGAAATCCGATAAGCTATGAAGCTCTTCTTGCACAGACGTCCGGGAAGGGGTGGGTCAGAAGGTTACAACAACAAACAATATACAAACAAGACAGGAGTGTGCAAAGTAAAGGAACGATAAACAAATCACTTAAAACAATATACAAATAAAAATGTAGTAGAAACGCAAAAATCCGTCAAAACTTGACCCCCCCCCCCTTCCTGTACGCACGCGGACTTTTTACACCCTCCCACCCAGTCCTATAGAACGGCCAATATTTAATCCACGCAGAAATGATCAAGGATTAATAATATGAACGTGTTTAAGCAAACAGCCCACCGCCCGACTATCTAACTCATTTGAAGGCCAATGCAGACAAATTTATTATTATCGAGGCTTTCACCCCCCACCCACCCCCCCCCCCCCCCCCCCCCGTTTTCCTATTGCGTACATTGTCAGTAGACCCCCCCCATACGTAAGCGAACGTATTTGGGTTCACCCCCCCTCCATGCGTACTGAATGGATGGCCCCTTATTGGTTCCCACGTGTAGAGCCGAAAAACGCTCTCCAATAAGGCCAAAAAAGCATTAACGCATCGGGCTCCGTAGGGTCAAAGTTATAACTCTCGCATAGATGATGATTCAACACGAATGAAATTTTCGTTTAAAGTTTTGCATTGCCATCTATTCGTGGCTTGTACCCTCGAGAAGAAGCGGATACATTGATTGTTTTTTTTTAATTGGCAGTTTAAAAAAATAAAAACTTCGCTAAATGGATTTGCCAAACTCTGGCCAAGATGATCGCGCAGCCACACCCCGGGACCCCCCCCCCCCAGCCCCAAGCCCCCCCCCGGGCCCCCCCCCCAGCCCCCACCCACGCGCCATGTGCTGTCACCTTGCAACGTCGCTTCCAACTGCCAAGTCGTCGCACCTCTCGCAATCGCTAATAAACCAAAAATACCCCCCCAAAAAAACGAAGCACATTTCACGAAAGGTTCAAACAAAACAAAACCACCCCCCCCCCACCACGTGGCTTGTGCATGGTTTTTAACTCTTACCCCACCACACACGATCCATCTGTGCTCGCAAACGTGGGACACCGAGACAAGAATCCGACGCTCGACTGCTGGAGCAAGGGGGGAGCTCGAAAGCGGCGAAGCGCACACGAAATATGAAAATCGTCCGCTGCATATTTCAACGTTTAAGCGGCGCAAGCCAACGGTGGCATGACCTGCGGAGGCTTTGGCTTCAATGCAGGCGGTGTGGCGGGCAAAAACACGCAGAGAAGACTTCAATGATAGCGTCCTAGACAGTGCGTTCACAACATTGTGGCCGGCCTACACGGCGGGCCCTCGTTTAATGTGCCAGCTGTACACGCGTTGCTGAAAAAACGAGTTTCCGTTAAAACTATTTCCCCGTAAATAATGTATCGTTGCCATCTTCCGTTCATAAGGCACCTGCTTTTCTCAATCCACTGCTGGATGAAGGCCTCCAGACAATAATAATTACAGCTTATTTTGCGGCCATGGCATGGTAAGCGATTACGATAATAAAATTTCGATTTAAAGCTTTCGTGACTGCAAGGATTCATCTTCTTTGGTTCTTTCGGTAAAGTCACATAGAATGAGAACAAAATAATTAATTAATAAAATAACACAAAATTCTCACGACGTTTCGGCCACAACACAAGTGGCCTTCATCAGGTGAAGGGACGAGACTGTCTCGCTCCAGCGCTGTCCTCGAGACAGTCTCGTCCCTTCACCTGATGAAGGCCACTTGTGTTGTGGCCAAAACGTCGTGAGAATTTTATTGTGTTATTTTATTTTATTAATTTATTATTTTATTCTCATTCTACGTGACTTTACCGAGAGAACCAAAGAAGATACAACGATACTGCTGGTCCTGGAGGAGTGGTGAGGGGGGGCCGGGGGGCGGTTTGGGGGGGTTATTTGACCATACTTCACCACGCTGGCCAGGGTGAGTCGGTCAAGAGGAGAACCACAGGACCGGTTCAGTTATCACTCCACCACTGGTAAAATCCGAAACCAGAAAATCAAGCTCAAATCACCGCCAGGTCCATAGCGGCACATTGCGCAAAGCATTGTACCCTTGTGCCCATCGAGAATTGAAACCGAGCCACAAAATCACTCGAGAGACATAGACACGCATGGCACGGCAGAACATTCCATGACGAGAAAGCGGGGACATTCATGGCTCTCGGTAAAGCACGAGTCGCAGCAACCTGCTCGGGTTAAAAACGGCCGGAAAGTCTGGAGCCGAACGGAACGTACGAAAGCCACCGCAGCCTCAAGCTGCTGCGCTGTTGGGGTTGTCGTTGTCGTTGTCGTCGTCGGGGTCTCCAGCAGGTAACCGTTTACACAGGAAGCAGCGTGCACACTCTAATCCCGCGTTGAGAACGGACTACACAACGCCAGTCGGGTCGGCGTTGGCACACGTGGTCAGAAGCGAAGAGAGCCCACGGCTGCCCAGGGAACTTATCAGAATGTATATTTATACCGGAGGAATCCGAAGAGCTATAAAGCTCTTTTTCACATATGTCCAGTCGTAACTTGGATGGTGGGGGTGGTGGTGGTGGTGGTCCCAAAAGGCAGCCGTGGTGGTGCAGGGCCCCACCCGGGCGTCCCTCCTCAAGCGTGCACAGGGCCCTTGCTCGGAAGAGCACGAGGGCAGCCAGACCCAGGTTATATTTGGCGGAGATGAGCACGAGCCTCTTCTGAGCACTTTAACGAACCCTGGGCAGGAGTCAGCGCTCGCCAGCCACGATGATGACTTCATCACCCCGCGGGCTCCGCGAGACGGCGTCGGCAGCGCTGCCAAAGCGGCAATCGCCCGGGCTCCTACCCGGCACATCGTGTGCCATGAACAGGGGCCATAGCCCGAAACGTCACCTCGTGTGCATTTCTTCAATTTTTTTTTAAGACCGTTAACGATGAATGTGCCAAGTTTTCATTTTCTTTCGTGCTCTGCGCAGTAAATGTGAGCGGACTGCGATTTTAACGTGTATTGTATGTTGAACCTCTTTAGCACCCTACGTAGACAACCGTGCTAATCGGAGGTGCGGGGGAAGAACAATAAACCCAAGCACAAAAAGCAGTTCGAAAGAAATGAGTTTTCAATCGAGAGTCGTGAATATTGAACAGGTCTTGGGCTTCTCCTAGGTTGACTCAGCTTACACGAGTACCTGTTGCAATCTGTAAACATCGGGGATACAAAGGTGGCCGGGACGCGGTAATGGCTACAACACCCCCTTCGTGCGCCTTGTCGGCCTTCATAGATCCTCGCGAACAGCACTTGCCCCAACAGTCTGTGAAGGCTATACGGGGGATCTTTGTCTTTTTTCAGGTGCGGTGGATTGACAGCTGTAAATAACGCCAGTGGACGGTGATATCTGATCGGCTCCTAGGCCTCTCCTAGAGACACAAAGGTTACCAGCAGCAGTACCTGATCCAACAGAACACAAATCTGTGTGTGTCTCACAGGAGCGGCGGTGCATTGGTTGGTGCACTTCATCGCTATCCTATAAGCCTTCGTCTGGATTGCACACCCATTCATTAATGACGTCAGCGTTCCTCTGCCTCCCTTAGGTCGGACTCAACCTTCAATTATTAAACGGCGCGGTGTTCGTGGTGAAACATTAATGTAATCAGGATGATGATGATAATAATGGATATAATTGATAAAGATGATGGCGATGATGGCATGGCGATGATGGGTGGTTACGATGATGAGTTAAGCTGTACCATCTATTGTGGTCGAATCCAAGGCAGAGTTTGCTTACTCAACCAAATGCTGCTTGATAATATTGGTCTGGAGAGCCAATAGGCCAATGGGCTAAACCTATTATTCACGCGTTCTAAATTCACAGGAAATGTGTAAAGTTGGGCTGACATTGGCCCAGCGGTTCCACCAAGCACATCCCAACGTTGACCGAACGTTGCGTGTTTAACCGGCTTATAGTCCGGCACAACGCAGGGACCAATGTGCGTGCGCTACTTCCTACGTTAAAGGTTCCTGCTGGAGACCCCAACAACAACAATGCGTCCGGAAGATCGTTTACTTTGCAGTGCAGCAATTGAACAAAACTCGGCTCGTGGATGGGAAACACATGGCCAGACCGGACGAGACAGAGGCCGCAAAGACAGCTGCCGGGGGGGGTGGGGGGGGGGGCACTCATTCGGGCAATAATTTATGGAAATTAATTACAGAACAACGCACAACGTGGTTTGCTTGGGAACCGCGAGGAATCTGATCACGGTGTGGCGAGCAGCCGATCACGAGGCCGTTACCTAGGCACAGCTAAAACCTCGCTCCGAAGTTGCTTGCAACAACAAAAAAGCAACGTGTCGCGTAGAAATTTGGCTTGAGAGCCAGGAGGATACCTTCACAGTGGCGAGGAGTAGAGAAACACGCTCCCAGAGTATTGCCCAAGTGTGTCGCAATAAGACCACATGCATCGTCCCAATACTCAGATCTATCCACCGACTCGCAATCCAATCCCACATCCACTGCAAGATGACACTCACCGGTCTCCATGAACCTCCATGGCTTTTGGTTAGATTCCCATTCACGGATGACCTGTGAACTTCCACTCTGCCTCCCCCTAGCCGTGAGAGATTCGCCCCTGATGATGACGATGACAATGACGACGACGATGAGGTGTGATGTAGCATAGGACCCTGACTCGGTACGGCTCTGCATGGCCCCTCCAGTTTTTCCCTCCACATTTTGAAACACGCGTCTAAGAGTATTTGGCTACTGCTATGTACATTTCAAGGCGATGGTAGGCCACTTCGTTGAGCTATCGTTTGCAAGAGTCAAGTCGCTTCTGAAAAAGAGCTATATACAAGCTCAGTGGGCCTCACCTGGGTAAAATAAAAAAATTGTTCGTAGTTGAGTTCACCACCCGCCGACGCGATCACGATGAACCCCGACCGCGCACGGAGTCGGCAGGTTGCAGGAGAGTCCTCGCGGGCAGCAGAGGGCCACGTACCTCTGCAAGCCGAGCTTCAGATTCCCGATGCTCGCCTTGATCTTGTTCTGGGCCTCCAGGTGCGTCATCCCGGCCGTGCTCACCCCGTCGATGGCCGTCACCACGTCGCCCGAGCTCATGTTCGCCAGCGCGGACTTGCTGCCGGCGGTCACCTGCAGCCAGGTACGGGCACGGAGGAGGCGTTGGCACAGCGTCACCGTGCAGCACGGCTCAGCGCAAGAGGGGCGGTGGCCCCTGAATTTGCGCGCGCGCAACTACCGCCGGCGGTAAGGGTCTCTCCGCTGGGCGGCGGTGGGCACAACCCGCGTCCCCCGCCGCCCGCGGTGCCCCTCGTGGTGGGCCCTCGTCTCAGTGTGTCTGGGGGTGGTGATGCGTGGGGGTCACGGTTAGTGCCCCCGCACGCCAACTCGTCTGGGTGTACCCATCGCTGCTCTGGAGGGCCTCTGTAGGGAGAGGGTGTGTTTTTTTTTTTATCCTGCTCTTCCACGCTGGGCCGGTGTCTCGGAGGCAAGGGTTGATAGATCACAAGAGTTTTTTTTTGTCTTTGCTACTCCCAGTCTTGCTGCTGACAGGGCTAGGAGAATTGAGTGCCGGCCAGTGGGCTTGTGTTCCCCGTCTGTGTGGACTTTCGAGCGTTATCCACTTGTATGTGGGTACTCCGCATTCCTCGCACAGATCAAATAAGTGAACTGGTCATGTGTTGTAGTGCAGGACCCTCCTGAAAAGGTCATGCGATTCACCGCAGCATTCCTGTCTAAATAAAAAAAATAAACACTTGCACACACACACACAGCAGAACATTTTAAATAATTATTTTCCATTCTCCACATTTCTTTTTTTCGAGCACATTGTTGACATTGCTAATGTTGAGCCTTACATGGGCATTCAAATGAGTTCACTCACAGCCTGGCGAGTTACACAACGCCAGTGACCGCCTATTAAGGCCGGGACAGTGCACAAGACAAGGGTGTGGACCAGCATCGGGACCTGGCCGTCTTTGTCTTCCCAGTGCTTATGTTCAAAAAGCATGCGGAAGATAAAGGTGCAGCCCAGCAATAGCTTGCTCACGCCACTGCTGGGAAAGGAGGGGGGGGAGGTGGGGAGTTCTTGAACCAGCAGTGGATTGACCACGACTGATGATGTTGAACAAGCGAAAGGGATTTGCAGGTATCTCACCGGGGCTAAAACCGCACTCTCCCCATCCCTCCTGGGTTAGATTCCAGCCCGTGGTGCCGCGGGGGGGTGGAGGAGGGGCTGCACCCAGGTTGGCCGACAACAACCTGAAAGTTGAGCTCGATATTTCACGAGCTGCGAACGCACTGCGTGGTAAATACGAGACGGTGATCCTTAATTAATTGCATCACGAAGCAGTCCTTAAAGAGCCGTGGGTTGCCGACCCCTGCCCATGGTAAAACTGGATTCCCATAGTAAAACTGGACTCCCATGGTAAAACTGGACTCCCACGGTAAAACTGGACTCCCATGGTAAAACTGGACTCCCATGGTAAAACTGGACTCCCACGGTAAAACTGGACTCCCACGGTAAAACTGGACTCCCACGGTAAAACTGGACTCCCACGGTAAAACTGGACTCCCACGGTAAAACTGGACTCCCATGGTAAAACTGGACTCCCATGGTAAAACTGGACTCCCACGGTAAAACTGGACACCCATGGTAAAACTGGACTCCCACAGTAAAACTGGACTCCCACGGTAAAACTGGACTCCCATGGTAAAACTGCACTTCTATGGTAAAACTGGACTCCCACGGTAAAACTGCACTTCTATGGGAAAACTGGACTCCCACGGTAAAACTGCACTTCTACGGTAAACTGGACTCCCATGGTCAGGGGTCAGAAATCAAATTAACAAGAAGAGCAACTCTTGTGAATTTCGGTAAAAAAAAAAAACACTCAGTATTTCAAGAGCTAAAATGTAGTCCCTTAAGACTGCCGCAAATGTCTCCGGAGCCGCAGGTTGCCGACCCTGGGCCCTCCGCAGTTAACATCGAGACAACCGCCCCACGCGCACGCTACCTCTGGTGACTTTGACGGCAGGGGTGAAAGGGGTCCTCCTCCTACCGCGCGCCCGTGTGTGTGCGTGCGCGTGTGTACGTGTGTCTGTAACCCCACGACGAGCGGGCCAGTGACGTGCCGTTCTATCTTTGCCCGCCGCTGCGCGCGGACGGAATTCGGGCAGCTGTGAAAACCCAGCGCCGCGCCGGGTCGCAATATCTCACCCGCTGAACGTTGGGCCATGCCAGTTATCCCGAGGTGCCAAAAAAAAAAAACGACGGCACGCACACGCACGCCTACTGGCAAGCACGTAGTAGGTGCACGTCTATGGCCAGACACACACACAGCACTCATGCGCGCGCACGTGTATGAATTGGCAGGAACCGGCGGGCCTATTGGTTAGCGCCGCGCGCTACAAAACTGCCAACCCGAGTTAAATTCCCAGCAACAGCGGAGAGTCACATCCGGAATCGGTGCGCGACCTCTCTCCGGTCATATCAGCCATACATGGGTACCTGATGCGCTCTGTCAACATCAGCCTTGCGTGGCGTCGGCTGGAACCACACCCTCCGAGCGCTAATGCCCGCCTTAATAGGCGCTCGCCAAAAGCGATTGCCCGAACCGTCTGCTGAAGGCTATCACGGCAGGCACTTTGTCTTCTTTGCGTGTTAATCCGCTGCCATGGATGCACAATGCTTTTGCAAATACGATAAGTCAGTTTGCCTGGCTCAGGGGTCGGCAGCCTGCGGCTCTTTGAGGACTGTTGCTTATTAAGGACCCATCGTATTCACCACAGTGCACTGCGGCTTCTTTAAATGTTGAGTTTTTTTTATTAGAAAAAATGCCTCTTCTTGTTCCAAAAACACCGCACAGAATCGTGACGAATGCACACTGACATACGATGCAAGCAGACAATGCGAATCCCAAGCGACGCGATGAAACAGCCGTGGTTCGGGACCGCGATTTGATTCAAGAATCGGTTCGGTTTTTAACACTGGGGTCGATGTGGCGGTCACCAATCACCGGAGCGGTCGCTTGAACCCATTACGTGCAACGTAAACGACAGGGCACCGACCATCGATTCTGACACACTCCAAATTCCACGCAGACATCGTGAGCTTTGGACGTTATCGTTACGCACCCCGTATTTGGCTTATGCACGTGGACTTTAAAGCCACGGACAGGGGCCGAGCGAGGCAAAGGTCTGTTTGCAAGCGACAAGTGCTGTTATTTACAACAGACGAACGAGGAAGGTGGCGTGCCTCGAAACCGATCTCAACTGCCTTTTTGTCTCCCCCGTTGACGATGTTTGCCAACAGCTCCCATCCGCTCGATTCAAGGCCGATTTCAGCTTGGGGGAAGTTCAGGCCAGTGTGAGATTCCAGTTGCCACAGACGTGCATTATGCTCGCGAATCATTTGCCAGGTCACAAAGATCACGTGCACACTCACACAAGAACAGCAACAGCTGCTCATTGCAACAAAGAGGCGGTGACATCGCCATGTGCCAGGCTAGGTGCACTTCCGCGGCCACATGACGTTTCGCAGGCTCACTGGCAGGAGGTCAAGGGACAGACCCCAGTGTTATGGGGTTGACCGACTGGCATGAGCGCCACATCTGCTCCCCACTGTACCAATTTTCTTTCTTTAATCCACCCAGCGCTCTGCTCGCTGCTGTTGTGTCGCTCAACTCACACACACACACAAACATCACATACGGACAATCAAAGACAAAGATCCCCCCCCTATAGCCTTTTACAGACTGTTAGGGCAGGTTCTGTTAGCGAGCACCTATGAAGGCCGGCACGGTACGCGAGGGGGTAGGTTGCCAGCACCTCGCCCGGCTGCCTTTGTCTCCCTCGTGATGAGGTTTACACACCACACCAGTTTCTCATTTGAGGCTCAGTCGACTTCGGGGAGGCCCAGGACTGCTTCAGATAATCGTCACTGGTGTCAGCCGTGAGCCAGAATCTAACTCGGATCGCCGGGTTCGTCGCGAGGCACGCTAACCACGACACCACTGCTGCTCACACGTACACACACGTACACACACACACACACAGCGTACTCACCCGTGAGACGGTGAGAGGCATATTGAAGTCCTTGCCTCCCTGGAGACGGAAGCCCCAGGGCGGCTGTCCTTCCAGGGTCACGCTGTATCCGCTCATGGCGTCGGCGGGATTCGGCCCAGCTGCTGGAGAGGTTCCCTGGGACTGGGCGGCAGAGGTGCTGCATTTCAGGCCCGGCGGATGATCGATGGGAAAGGCCGATAGGGCCAAACGCAAACAACAGAAACACACACGGGCACAGAGTGATGCGCGGCACAGCCGTCGTGCACGTGGTCGGCAGGGTGGGCTCGGTGGCAACACTTGTGCCCCCCAGCAAGAAGGCCCCCACCCCGTGTGCGTTTCTGTTTACAAACTTTGTATAATTTTCCCGCTGTTCGGTACGGGTTTATTCCGGGGTTCTATAGTTTCCTCCAATAGCTCAAGTACACACAGTGTGTATCGGGTATTGTCAGATCATCCCACTACTGAAAAACCCCTGCAAATTACTCAACTGGGATCACACGGGGACAGCAGCAACAGCAGCAGCAACGTCGTCCCCTGCTGCGCTAAATTGGCAGGACTCTCCTGAAACGTGAGTCTCTCGCAGCTCAAGGAGGTTCTCGCCACCAAACGCGTGACCGGCAGCATTCTCTCAGTGCTGGGGAATGTTCGACATACGAATAACTCGTAGGAATAACAGAAAATTCGAATGGCCCCATCGTATTGTTCCCGACTCCCTAATTGGAAACCCAGCGAATACCCTCATCATCACCACCATCGACGGTCGTGCGACGTCGCGTTTTGAGGCGTGCAGTCAAGCCTCGAAGAGGCTACGGTGAGACGCGCCGCCACAATAAAAGGTCGGCCGCACCACCCCCTGGCGCCAACCGCCTCCCCAGACGCGCCACGCGGCTGGGCTCGCGACCGCCGATCGCCGAACGCGGGGCCGCGGTGGCGGGGCAGAAATTCCGCCAACAGCCCCCAAGTGTGGCGCGACAGGGCCCTAGCGAGGGGTGAGAACCACGCTCACTGCCCCATCCTCGGGACGGGCAGCACGAGCGGGGGACGTGAACGTTCGCTTGTGGGTAGGGGAAAGGGTAAGGGGAGAGATAACGAAGAGAATACTGGGGGGGGGTGGGGGGGGGAGAAAGGGACATGGTGGGAGGAGGAGGAGGAGAAGGGGGTGGATTACACCTCATCTTATTTTAATTCATACGGGCGCCTTGGTCAAAGCGCTGAACAGAGACCTAGTAAATCTACGCCGAAACGGCGTGATGCGACGATGTGAGTAGATGAGAACGGTGGCAGTGCACGAAGATGATGCCTGGGGGGGAAATAAAAAAAACCGATGATGAAAGTGAGAGTGAGTTGTTGACGATGAGCGAGTGCGATGGGTGGGTAGGGAAGTTGGGAAGAGGGAATGATGGTGATGATGGTGTTTGATGGTGGGGAATGGAGGGGGAGTTTGGGGTAAGCAAGCGAGTTTTCAGGGATGAACAACCGATTGTCAGCGAGGCAGCGATTGTTTGACGTGCAAGGGAAGTTTGTTCCGGTGGAAGGTGTAAGTGGATTAAATTTGGCCTTCATAGAATGAACGGGCGACTTGTTAATATAACTGATGTGTGGAGCCACACCAGCTCTGCATTAGCCCGATATTTCACGAATATCCCTGATGTTGCGGTGAGCGAGAAGATGGGGGGGGTGGAGGATGTGGAGTAAGAGATGGCTTTAGTGGGGGGGGGGGGGGGGGGGTGTGGCGAGCGGATTACAATGAAGGAGGGTTGGGGTTTGTGGTCTAGGAGACTGTGGTTGTTTGTACTGGAGCAACGTGCAGGGGATTGAGGAAGCTATGTGGTAGAGAGGAAGTCGGTTTGCCTCTCGCCGAGGAATGTGGTGTCCTCGTCATTATCATCAGCCATGATAAAGGCCTCCCTGGACACAATCCCTCACAGTCCTACACAGCTACAATCCATCTCGAGCCGATCCAATCGCTCCATCTCCACGGTGTTCACCCCCCCCCCTCCCCCCTCCGCTGGCCGCCATTCATCGTCAGTCTCGACCATCAGATACCATCGCTTCAAGCAACACACGTCCTGCCTAAGCTTTCCTGAAAAGTGATAAACGGTGTCTCAGTACAAATATGTCACGCGTGTTCCCTGATGCATGTGTGCTCTTGTTTCCATCCCCAGCAGGCACGTCTGCGCGTTTCTGTGCACAATTTTCAACCTTCTGTTCCACAGTCTCCATCAACGCTGATCCACACGTCACACGCACCGACTGAAAGCTGTATTTATTTAGGTGTATTGCTGCTGCGCGTTCCTTGTCGAGTTCCGCTTTGCAAACACACTTTACGACTGCTGTCGCTCGATAGAATGCTTTTGGAAACGTGAATACATCGTTTTTTCTTAAGCGTACACCATAAAATAAGCCAAAGCAACATCCCAAAGTGTCTGCGGAAGCAGGTTTGAAATCTGTGCCAACAAACGTCACTCTTTAAAACTCAAAACCCTGTCTCACCCCCCCCCCCCATCCACGGCACGCAGGTACAGTGTGCAAATGTACTGAGTGCATTACTTTGTTGAATAACTGCACCCGCAAGGTGATGTAATGTTTAATAACACGCCTCCTAAGCCCCTCGCCCCGCCACCCGCCACCACCGTAATCATCACAATGCCGACTATTTGGTTAATTGACAAGACGTGTATCCGCGCCTCCGATTACCACGGCTGGCCACGTACGGTGCGAAAGAAGTTCAACGTGCATACCCATCGTCCCGTCTTATAACTCGAGCGGCACAGCTGTGAAGAAGCACACGCAACGCGCCAAAACATCTGCGCGCAAAATATTCCCTCCCTCGCTAAAAAGCCAGTTTTTTTTTCCTCCTCTTCCGAAGGTGAAACCTGAGATGGAAAGTGGGCTCAAAATATTTAACGGAGGGAACTAGCAGTCACTGCCTCACTGCCATCTGCAAGTCGAAAAAAAAAATCAATGGGATATTGAGCGAACGCCAGAGTGCCGGCACTACTGTCACGTGTTTGGACAAGGTGAAGAGGGACAGAAAGAGAGTGGTGGTGGTTGCACAACATTAATCATTCATCCATTGGAGAAAACGGGACAGCCGCCAGACGTGTACGGTAGAGAGTCCATACAAATACACGGGCCAGTAACAGCCCAGCCGCATGCCCAACTCTGCGCTTACGGAATCACAGCACGGGACACGGAAACACAGCACGGGACACGGAAACCTATGGGGGCCGTCCATAAATGACGTCACGCACCTGGGGGGGGGGGGGTCAGACATTTGTGACGATGTGTGACGAGCGGGGGGGGGGGTTTGAGAAATGTGATGTCACATCAAAATGCGCAACTTTAAATAAATATAGACAACACGTTCTACTTAATTAAATAGACTTTTTAATGTTTTCTCCTACAACATCAGAGTGCAGCGCCACATTAAATACGCACTACAATGACAATAGTTTAAAGCGATTTGAAGCATTTTTGGGGGGGGGGGGGGCAGAGCTTTGTGACGTCATATTTGAGGGGGGGGGTCTGACTTTTTGTGACGCCGTGTGACGATGGGGGAGGGGGGTCAAAAAATCGTCCAAAATCGCGTGACGTCATTTATGGACGGCCCCGAAAAAAGAATTCTAACATCGACAAAAAAAACCACCAAATGGACTTTCATTGCTACTATAAATGTTCCCACAGCAGCGGGTTGGCCGTGACATGTACCTGCTGCAACCTTGATCTATCCACTGCTGGCTGAAGGCCGCAACCACACACTGTCAGTCTGAGGGGAGGGATGGATGCTTGACCATACTTCACCACGCTGGTCAGGGCGAGTTGGAGAAAGCACCCATATACATGTAGATGATGTAGTCGTCGCCAAAGCTGCCCTAAGTCATGGGCAATGCCATCAGGGGGTTTTTGGCTCTCACTCCAGTTGTGTGCGAGTCGTGAAAAACTGCGCGTCCCTATGGTGTACAGGTCGAACCACTTCTAAAGGCTTGCCATGAGTTAATGCGGCTTCGGTATGCAACAGGCCTTTTGTCAATCCACTGCTGGATGATGGACTACCCGTGCCACGCAGGTAGTTGGGATTGTTGGGGCCGTACTTCACCACGCTGGTGAGCGAAGGGCGGAAGCGTAGTAGTACAGTACAACTAAAGCTGGTCCACTCTGCCTTAAGCTGCGCCACCACTTGGGCCTAGCAGCAACTGATAATCGCCTGTTTTGTGTGGAGTACGGCGGTGATGCCCCATCTGAGCGCTATCCCGGCTCAAACCTGCTTAGCTTCCGAGATCTGACGAGGTCCGGGGAGCATTCTGGGTAATTTGGGCATAGGCGGCTTAGCTCGACAAGGCATCATTTTAAATATGAGCAACTACTTGGTCGTAACCGTTGGACGCCAACGTTGGACCAACGTTGGAGCTACACGTTCCATGGCAGTATGATCCGTGGGCGGCTTCATCTGCTTCCCATTGGCTTCAGGGCCACAAACGTCGGTAGGCGGTTCACTGATAATTGTGGGATCTGACATTTTCGTGAAGTGTTTATAGTACGTGACTCCCAGCAATGTGGAACTTTAGACTGACCCTGCCCAATAAGTGAAACCAACCCAGCTGTGGACAAAGCCTTTGGGAGCCCAAATTCTAACGTTTTGCAATGCGGATTGTTCCACCACTTATAAGGGTAAACGAACTTCAACAACTTGTAGTTTGCTAGTCCTTACAGAACATCGCTCATCGAGTCACCACTGCATCTAATGTAATACATACTCTACCTTGGGTTAAATCGTTGTTTTGCAATGTAACGATTAACGAATGGATAAACACCAAAAACTCCGGTTACAAACCAGTTACAAATGTCCCGAACAAGAGCTAATAACCACAGTGGTTGTGATGGTTGGCAGGCACACCGGCTGGGACTACTGATCCAGTGGTCGCAGGTTCGATTCAGTCTCCAGGCGTGGCAAGTTTCTTCAATCCGCGTGTGGTGGGGCAAAGTGTCAATCCCTTCCAGTCTCGTCCGTTCGGCGCGGAAGAGTAGACCAAATGACCACTCGAGATCTCCCTCTAATTGGAAGCCCTTCCTCTGACAGTGTGGTAGGTGAACAATTGCACCTTGAAGGTGAGAAACAGGGGCAACTTGTAATCACGTGGTGACTTGGGCAGGTCGCCGTGCGGTCTATTTGTACGTTCTTCGCGTGCCAAGGGGCCGTCCATAAATGACGTCACGCGATTTTGGACGATTTTTGACACCCCCCCTCCTCGTCACACGGCGTCACAAAAAGTCAGACCCCCCCCTCAAATATGACGTCACAAAGCTGTCCCCCCCCCCAAAAAAAACATGCTTCAAATCGCTTTAAACTATTGTCATTGTAGTGCGTATTTAATGTAGCGCTGTACTCTAATGTTGTAATTGAAAACATTTATTAAAAAGTCTATTTAATTAAGTAGAACGTGTTATCTATATTTATTTAAAGTTGCGCATTTTGATGTGACGTCACATTTCTCAAACCCCCCCCCCCGCTCGTCACACATCGTCACAAATGTCTGACCCCCCCCCCCAGGTGCGTGACGTCATTTATGGACGGCCCCCAACCTGTGCGTCCATCACTGACATTCCACTAGAAACGGTTCACCTATTCTGAAAACGGTTACCGGTTTTACAGGTTGTCCTTTTACAACTAATAATACTAGCTGGCCCTTACACACACAAGATTTTTGTTTTGTTAAACAGAAATAGGAAATAATACTGATAATACTGTACACATTGCCTACGGATCTGAGAACAAACGCAAATTAGAGAGACGCCCATTGACTGTTGTCGATGGAGCTTCGAGTGGCAGATTTGTGAAAGTGAGGCGCCACGTGTTCGTAAAACTTAAAATTAACTCGACTGGCCGCACTCGTAAGTGGGGCTTGGACCGAACACAGAGTGGCTACAAGGAGGGGTCAATGTCGCCACGGTGGCGAGATGTTAACTCCCTCGCCTGATACGCAAGTGGTCGTGGGTTCGATCTCGACCCTGACGTCTGATGCATATTATAATAATAGGGTTACATTTTGATTTAAAGCTTTCGTGACTGCAGGGATTCATATTCTTGGTTCTTTCGGTAATGTCACGTAGAAGGGAAACAATACAATAATAAAAATATAAAACAATACAATTCTCACGACGTTTCAAATTTTCTTGCTGTGGTTTTCACACCTGATGATTGCTTGTGTTGCAGTCGAAACGTTCTTCACCTTTTTTTCTGGCAACAAAACTGAAACCTTTTTACATGGAATCATGTGTGCATTAACCACAAAACTTGTGGTCAAAATGCAAAGAAAAAACACACTTTAATAATATAACTGGCATTGTCCTTGAAACTGATTGGTCCACACCAGAGACGGCTTTCTTTTGAGCCTCGTCTCAATTGGTGCTAGACCAGAGGACGCCAAAAGGCGTACAGCTCAAAGACAATGCCACTATCAAAGTAATGAGGGCTCGGGGTAAGCATCTACATCATTTTGACCACAAGTATTGTCGTTATTGCACGCATGATTCCTTGTAAAAAGGTTTCAGTTTTGTTGCCAGGAAAACCCCTATTATTATATTTTGGTACTGGCAAAGGAGGTCTAATGAAGATGATGTCTGCTGTATACTTGGGGAGTTTGCGTGGCTCTCTCTCCCCGTGGATTTTACTCCGGGACCTCCGTTTTTTTTGCCCTATACACATTCAGAATCACCGTCACCACACGTTTAGAGTGTTTGGCTGCTATAAACGTCCACGTGGCGATAAAGGCAAATTCGTTGAGCTACCATTTGTTAATAGCCAGGTAGCTTCTGAAAAAGAGCGAAACAGCTCAGTGGGCCTTACATGGTCAAAATATCAAACCACACACGTAATTATGTTTGGTTTACGGCGCTAACAGCAACGAGTGGTGATGGAATGACAGCCAAGGGAGAGAACACACGCCCGTGGCGATGGAACAACGATGAGATAATCGGCTCCGTGTGACTTTCGCGGGATGATAGATTTGTGTTTTTTTTTGGTGGAATCGCATCGGCCGTGAACGATTTAGGACCGCGTGGGCGAAGGGTGCCTTCGTCCAGCAGTGGATAGAGACCACGGCTCACGATGGCGATTAGAATCGTGATAACGACGATTGCGATGGGGGTAAAGTCTTCATCCAGCAGTGGATAGGCCCGTGGCTAAAAAAAGAAAATCGTATGAAGACGTGAACGGCCTTCATCACATACTCGATATCCCACGACTGATAATGATGATCGTGATGATAGTACTGGTAGGTAATCATTAATCTAGCAGGAGATACACCATGTAGATTGCCCATAATACAGGTTTATTTTTGGGGTTTTATCGTGTAAGAATGTGTCGTTCAACCCGCCACCACCCGACACAGCCAACTAGTAAGGTTTGTCACGTAAACAGAACGTGCCAATTCGTAACACTAGTACAGCACGCCGGTGTGTTGGAGAGCAAATCCACAACATTTACATTTAGATTGCACTAAACGATGATATGTAAGACTCTAAGCAGGTGACAACATTAATCTCCAACAAGTGTTATAATAGCCCTACCCGATGCAAAGTGCATACAGTAGGGTAATCATGCACACACCATCTTTGCAGCTAAGCTTTAGGAATCTCAAACTTCTTGCAGTCAATTATAGCCGATGCACAAACGCATCATTATCGTTTCATAACGGACGGAGATGCCGTGACCAAATCAGCACCAAACGCCTCCCCAGCGGGCTTTGAATCAGAATCTATATTTATACTGGAGGAATCCGATGAGCTATAAAGCTCTTTTACAGGACGTTGTGATAATCACGAGCTCTATATACTGCGCTGCATGTGCGAGGCCGCCTTTACCACGACACACGAATGACCGGCGTGGTGAAGTATGGTCAAATGACACCCCCCCCCCCACGACACAACTCGCATGAACTCACATCCACAAAGACAAAGGTCACCCGCGTAGCCTTCAACGGGCTGCTGGGGCAAGTGGTGTTTGCGAGACCGGTACTGCAACCACGCCCGCCCGCCAGACCGCCTTTGTCTCCCTAGTCGCGATGTTAACAATACCACACCAGGTACTCTACCGATTATTAAGTCCGAATCGAACTAGCGAAGGACCAGGACCGGTTCAAATAATCACCACTGGTGAACTGGGGTTCGGAGCGCGGTGCGTGGCCTACAAAGACAAAGATCCCCCAGCCTCGTGTGGCCTCCATAAGACTGTTGGGGCAAAGTACTCTCAGTGTGTGTGTGTGTGCGGCCCAGCTCCAGCCACGCACGTGGAGGGAGGCCATCATCCAGCAGTGGATTTGACACGAGGACCCTTTTACACCCACCACACACGCACACGTGTTGTCTAAACTCAAGCCTACTTACACGTTCGGTTTTCTTAAACAACGACAAATACCACACACCTTCGCTTTATAACCACGTGTGCACTACAGTCATCACCAGCCACGATCGATCCACTGCTGGATGGAGGCCCTGCTTCCCACAAGGGCTTCTCCCAACGGTTGTAACGAATCGTTTAATCATTAGTTGGGGGGGCGGAGGTTTGTGGGAATCCCTGCTTATTCCCCAAACCTCTACCAAACAATCAACCGCAAAGTGCCGTAATCTCTTACACGCAGCCGGGGACAATAATTATACTCAGAGCTGGCCAAAGTTGAAATCGAACAGAATCAGAATGTGCATGTACACGGGAGGAATCCGATGAGCTATACAGCTCTTTTTCCACAGACGTGTCCAACGACGTGAAGCGACACGGACACTCGCTCGCTAGCTCGCTCACCTGGGTCGCGTTGTGGCGAGGCAGGGGATGATGCAGCAGCAGGCAGGGAGTGAGTGAGTGAGCTGTGGCTCTTTCTGTGCCTCCAGCAGGGAGTGAGTGTGAGCGTTGTGGCTCTGTGCTGCAGCAGGGAGTGAGTGTGAGAGTTGTGGCTCTGTGCTGCAGCAGGAAGAGAGTGTGGAAGTTGTGGCTGTGGCTCTGTGCTGCAGCAGGAAGAGAGTGGAGAGTGTGAGAGTTGTGGCTCTGTCTGTGCTGCAGCAGGGAGTGAGTGTGAGAGTTGTGGCTCTGTGCTGCAGCAGGAAGAGAGTGGAGAGTGTGACTCTGTCTGTGCTGCAGCAGGGAGTGAGTGTGAGAGCGTGGGTCTGTGATGTAGCAGGAAGAGAGTGTGAGAGTGTGGCTCTGTCTGTGCTGGAGCAGAGAGTGAGTGTGAGAGTGTGAGAGTTGTGGCTCTGTGCTGCAGCAGGGAGTAAGTGTGGAAGTTGTGGCTCTGTACTGCAGCAAGGAGAGAGTGTGAGAGTGTGGCTGTCTGTGCTGCAGCAGGAAGAGAGTGGAGAGTGTGAGAGTTGTGGCTGTCTGTGCTGCAGCAGGGAGAGGATGGAGAGTGTGAGAGTTTGGCTGTCTGTGCTGCAGCAGGGAGAGGATGGAGAGTGTGAGCGTTGTGGCTGTCTGTGCTGCAGCAGGGAGAGAATGGAGAGTGTGAGAGTTTGGCTGTCTGTGCTGCAGCAGGGAGAGGATGGAGAGTGTGAGCGTTGTGGCTGTCTGTGCTGCAGCAGGGAGAGAATGGAGAGTGTGAGTGTGGCTGTCTGTGCTGCAGCAGGGAGTGAGTGTGAGAGTGTGGCTGTCTGTGCTGCAGCAGGGAGAGAATGGAGAGTGTGGCTGTCTGTGCTGCAGCAGGGAGAGAATGGAGAGTGTGGCTCTGTGCTGCAGCGACAGCTCCCTTCCTGAGAGAGGCAGAGGCGAGAAGGCGGAGCCGCAATTGCATCAGAGATGCGTCACGCGCGCGCGCTCTCTCGCACAAAGACAAAGGTCCCCCGAGTAGCCCTCGAAACGACTTCGGGGGCAAGTGCTGTAAGCGAGGAGGAACCTCTGCAGGACGGCACGGCACGCAAGAGAGCGGTCGGTGGACAGCGCCACCACGCCCCACCGCCTTCAGTCTCCCCAGTGGCGATGTGTGTAACACACCGCACCAAAGGGAGCCCATTTGAGGCTGAGTCGACAAAGGGAGAGATCGATTCAGATCATCCGTCAGCGTTCCGTAGCGCCGAAGCTGACAACAGCAGCAACGCTCACACGTTGCTCTCTCGTGCACACCGCAGCCACACTTGACAAATATTCGCAAAGATCACCCGTGTCGCTATTGTCTCCCCCTCCCTCCGCCCCTCCCGGGTGCTGAATTTTCACACCGCACCAGGTGCTCATTTGAGGCTGAGTCGACCTAGGGGAGGGAGGAACCCCGGGACCGGTTCAGATCATCGTCACCGATGTTTGCCGCGAGCGGGAATCGGAGCTCGGCTCGCCGCGTTCGCAGCGCAGTGCGTGCTAACCACTGCGCCACCGCTCCCTGCTGACGGACAATCCCATCGACACACTGGGACAAACTGCTTACATGTCCAGGCCAGCACGGCACACCTTTGAGTGGTGTGGTCATATATGCAGAACTATTCCCAACTTTATTCTCATAGGCTGCTTGGGGCGGGGTGCGGTTAGCGAGCGCCTATTAAGGCCAGCACACACCTTCTCACCAGGTAGACTCATTTAAGGCTGAACCCACCGAGGAGGCCCAGGGACCAGACAGACATCACTTGCCACTGACGTTAACAAGTGGCTGGGGATCTAACGGGTTAGGAGTGCAGTGCGGTAATCACCGAGCCAACGCTCACCCCGGCATTTCCAGTTTAACCAAAGAGAAATACACAAACATTAATTAAAGTAGATGCATTAATTATACATGTGCGAACACATTTGGGCCATGCCTCCCGGTGCTAGACACTGATTATTATGGTTGGCTCTGACTCATGCCCTTATATGTGTGTGTAAATAGTACTTTGCAGTACTACATTACTGAGAACAATTATTATTATTTACATAGTATCTAAGGACAGTCACTCCTTAGCAGCTAATTAGACCTCTGATTGATGTATATTCGTCATATTGACAGTTAAGGAAAGTATAAGTTGGGTTTGGGTGCAGGACACGTCATGACGATGGCAAGTCGATGAGCAGTGGTCGAGACTGCTGAAGGAATGGCAGCCAAAGGGTGGAGGGCAGACACCCATCGGAGAGGACAAATCGCCGCTAGACATCGAACAAAGACGGCCACTGCATCGAGCGCTTTCAGATGCGCTTCCGCGGCCGTCTGGAACGCTCTGCCCTTCCGATGTTAGGACGCTACTGGAGCTGTGCACTTTTAAATCGTCTAGATTGACAAACTAATTCTTTTTTTGAACTGATTTCAAGTGTTTAGTTTGTTATTCTTCCCCCGCACCACCGATTGGCACGGTTGGCTACGTAGGGCGCGAAAGAAGTTCAACATACAAGACAAATATCCCCCCCGCATAGCCTTCACAGACTATTGGGGCAAGTGCCGTTAGCGAGGTGTTCATCCAGCAGTGGATGAACTATGGCCAGTGATCATGGGAAGATACCTTTTTTGCGAAATGGATGCACAGATAATGAATGCGAATTACTTTCACGGAAAATCCTGAGTCTGATTACTCTGCTTCAGGAAGATCTTGCATCTGGGATATGTACGGCCGTACCGAACGTGGTGGTTACATTAAACGGACGGTGAAATTCCACATTGCCATGGCGGGTGATAGGTTGTTTTTTTTTTCCATTGAACAGCTGCTATTAAGTTCCCACTGACTAATCAGTTACTGCTTACCACGGGATCTGAAAACTAAACTGGGCAATATGTATTTTGTATTATAATTATATCAAGCACAGGACTGATTCGCCCTTGTGAAATGCAAGCCGTACACGTTATGCCAACTGTTTTGCTTATCTTAAGGTATGACGACAGCATTCGCCCGTGTGGAGTGGCGAGATCAGATGCCCCCCACAGATTATGTTCCATGTGCTGCAAGTAAGGTTAAAGCGGCAATGCAATCATTCTGTCCCTTTTATTTGGGGACCTGGAGTGGGGGGGGTGACTCTCGGAAGGTTGATCCAATATGAACACAACTTTAGTACTGCAATTCTATGACGATGTGTTCCCATTAGGGGCATTGCCTCTGGAAAACCAGCAAAAGGATCAAAGTGTTTCCCGCACCTCCGATCATGACGGTTGCCTGCGTACGGTGCGAAAGAAGTTCAACAAACATACATATATTTACGCGGAGATCGAAACTCAAATTATTCACACACAAAAAAAACCTGTCCTAAAATAAAACATAGCAACCCCCATCCTTCCCACGACTTCTTTATGGGCGAAGTCATCTTATTGTGAGGCTTGAAACACCAATTATACAGTTCCGAAAGCGACCGGGGATTGAAAGACCACAACTGAATCCACATATATGTACGATTTTTATTCCTTGTTATTAATCGCGCATCCCATGACTAGCTTCATCCTCGTAAAAGGCAAGCTCTACACATTATTCCAACCGGCCTACTCATCTCAAGGCATTACACCACTGCGCGCCATCGTGGAGTTACGAGTTCACGATGCTCCCCGACAGGTTTATGTTGACACTTTCCAACTTAAGGTTCGACGCGTGGAACGCTCCGTCCATCTGTGAGGGGCAGCGGGAGAGGACGCGAAGCGTCTCGTAAAGTTCTCAAACACGCTCGTCACCCACCCCCCCCCGCCGCCACCGCCAAATGACTGCGGAATGTCACCGCGTGATCAGAGGCTGTAAATCGGTGGGTGATCACCTCCCCGTGCCCACGACCGTGACTCGTGATTACGGGTGGCAGCGACACCTGCCGGGTGGCGCGTGAATGTCATTGTTATATAGAACGTCGTGGTGATCTGTGCCGCACGCCTTGACGACTCTGTTCGCTGCGTGTGACGATGGGTAGGCCACGTGGATTTTTACGTACTTGTTAATAGTTTTTTTTAATTGAAGGCTTATTGTTAAATGTATAACTCATTAATAGTTCATGTTGCTTTGTCAAGATGCAAAGATCCAACCAACATCAAAGTGCTGATTCAACAAAAAATAATGTCAAGGAAAACTTTTGGGAGATGATCGTCAATTTACACCAAATGCGATAGAGACATTTTTTTAAATAAACACATTCAACACAATCTTTAAATGTTACTCTTTTTCATTAAATTTAAATTGTATGAACCCGAAACATGACGGGCAATTACACTATTAATAGTAATACAGTCATTTAGTTATATTATCATTCACACGTAAGCAGGCAATGTCTACTTCTTCTTACGGATGATAATGTTTTCTAATTTTAATGCCGTGTTACTGACGAGCATATTGAGTACTATGGTTTGGGTACACACTGTGCGAACAACCCAGGCTACTCTCGCAAACGATGGCTATTCTGGTCTTTACTCTTTGGTTCTATTGGGTAAAGTCACGTAGGTAAAAAATAAAATAACAAAAATCACGACGTTTCGGCCACAACACAAGCGGCCTTCATCAGGTGAAGGGACGAGACTGTCTGGAGAACAGCGCTGTTATTTTATTTTTTACCTACGTGACTTTACCCAATAGAACCAAAGAGTATGGATCTTTGCAGTCACGAAAGCTTTAAATCTAGAATATTCTGGTTTTCACAGTTCTCACCCAACAATTAAACTTATGAATTTAACGTGCATTATAGAGCGAATAATAGTTTAACACGAAGGCTTTTGCGACCAATATTATCCACGATAAAAGTGTTTTTGTTTACGGTTGTTGGGTTAGATGGGCGTAATTTTAAATAACGTATTGTAGTGCATTTAACATACATTACTACCTCCACACAACAGTCCCCTTGTGTCAACCTCCCCTGGAAGGAGTGGGTCCACCCTCAACAGGTTCGGGACCGGTCACGGCCCATGCCTCGCCAACCTCCACCGATGGGCAAGAGGAGCAAGTCCCGCTGCGTGCCTGTGGGGTGGAGCAAACCATGCAACCACATCCTATAAGGGGCCGTCCATAAATGACGTCACGCGATTTTGGACGATTTTTGACCACCCCCCCCCCTCGTCACACGGCGTCACAAAAAGTCAGACCCCCCCCTCAAATATGACGTCACAAAGCTCTGCCCCCCCCCTACCCAAAACCATATTTCCATTTTGAATATAAAACATGCTTCAAATCGCTTTAAACTATTGTCATTGTTGTGCACATTTAATGTGGCGATGCACTCTAATGTTGTAGGAGTGTTGTTATAACAATTAGTGTTATAACAATCCTATATTTATTTAAAGTTGCGCATGTTGATGTGACGTCACATCTCTCAAACCCCCCCCCCCCCCCTCGTTACACATAGTCACAAATGTCTGACCCCCCCCCCAGGTGCGTGACGTCATTTATGGACGGTCCCTAAGCCTGCCCGATCCACAAACTCAGGGGAGGCCTACTCAGCCTCAACACAGCAGGACCGGAGGCAAAAGCTTGGCTTCGGTATTTTGGATTCGCTAAATGAAAAAAAAACACACATACACTGTGGGCTACATAGCATATGATGTACTGCAGTGCATTCTCGACTCGCCAGATGACTGACTCGGAGTGTAGAGCGAGTGGCTCTCAATCGGAATGTTGCGAGCTCGTAATCCTGACTGGAGGTTGACTCATCCAAGGTCGATACCTGTGATTGGGAAGTCAACAATTGTTGTCCGAAGAGGTTAGACTCGCCCCCGTCACAGGAATGTGGAAAACCGAAATCTCACCACTGGCTCAGTGCTGTAAACCTGGAGGCAATCACCGCATCGATGTTCACGTGAGCAGGAACTAAAGTTGTACATACGTCTTCTTTGGTTCTTTCGGTAAAGTCACGTAGAATGAGAATAAAATAATAAATTGATAAAATAACACAATTACATTCTCACGACGTTTTTTTAATCTACGTGGCTTTACCGAAAGACCCAAAGAATATGAATCCCTGCAGTCACGAAAGCTTTAAGTCAAGAATGATGTACTACGTAATGTCATCAATAGTGCATTTTACATAAAGGACATTCATTATAAACTATACGTAGGGATGCTTCCGTGGTGTCAGAATCAAAATGTGTAATGACACTGGAGGAATCCGATGACCTATGAAGCTCTTTTCACAGATGCGTAACGGTTAGTAGATTGGCCTTGCCATCCATCTCACCCGCGGCAGTTGAAACGATGGGGCAAGTGTTTTTTTTAAATCTCCCCCACCACCTCTGTTCGGCCAGCAGAGTCAATCGCTTGTCAACGAAACGGGCGCGGGTCGAGTGTGTTTTGCAGCGGTATAAACCTTGGCAGTATATTCCAGCGGATGTTTTATTTCATTTCTTTTGCAGGTGTAGTATGTCACGCCAGCCGTATTTTATCTTCTTGCCGGTATACACACCGGCGCGTACCGCCCTCGTGAAATGGACGGAGGTTTATAGTTCAGTGGCGAGATGTTAACAACCTCGCTTGGTATACAGGAGGTCGTGGGTTCGATCCAGACCCTGGAGTTTGCGGTGTCTCTCTCTCTCCCCATGGTCACGTGGATTTTTTCTCCGGGTCCTCCGGTTTTTCCCTCCGCATTTAGAATCAACATCACGCGTTTCGCGTATTTGGCTGCTATACATTTGCACGTGATAAGCCACTTCGTTGAGCGATCATTTGTGGTCAGGTCGGTTTTTTTAAATAACTATATAGCTCGGTGGGGCCTTCCCTGTTATGATAAAGAAAACACATTTGTTTAGTTTATTAGCTTAGTTTTATTACTGCGGGTGTAATAAATCGTAAAGAAAATACACACCGCCTGCTTCGCATTGTCCGTTAAAGATCCCGTGAAGTCTTTCACGAGAGTGGTTGGGCCACTGTTTGGTCCAACTTTTCTAGATGGTCCAAATTTGCCAAAAAATATATATACTTGCAAACTATTCAATACGGATGACACGCAGCAGCAGCAATCACCCCCGCTCCCAACTGCAAGTCCTGGCAGGACCCTCCTGAAAATAGCCATGAGATCCAATGAGGCTTTCCTGAGATAACATTTTATTCATGTCTAATTTGTAAAACATTCACAACAAACCACTTTAACCACTTGGGGTGGGCGTGATGGTGGACGGGGAATTTAGAGGAAGGTAATGTAGGGAACGCCAGGTGGTAGGGATGTGTTTAAAATATATATACAGTGAGGGAAAAAAAGCATTTGATCCCCTGCTGATTTTGTACGTTTGTCCACTGACAAAGAAATGATCAGCCTATAATTTTAATGGTAGCATTATTTGAACAGTGAGAGACAGAATAACAACAAAAAAATCCAGAAAACCGCATGTCAAAAATGTTATAAATTGACAGATTCCGGAAGCTAAGCAGCTGTCGAGCCTGGTTGGTGCTTGGATGGGTGACTGCCGGGGCTTGCCAGTTGTTGGGAGGCGTGGGGCCGCCAGCCGATGCTATTACCATTCGTAATTATTGTTATCTTCACCCTTTGTCTTTCCACTGCTGGATGAACGCGCCCTCCCCTCCCCCTACAGGGTTGTTTTGCCATACTGCATGCTGGCCAGTACTGGTTGAAGGGAAGGGCACACGACCGGTTTTGATATAATCACTCACTACTGATGTCGGCTGTAATCAATAACACAGAGCGCTAACCACTGTGCCACCGCTCCCCATCCGCTCTTGTTATTGCGATCATAATTATAATAGGCTATATCCATGGCTCTTGCAGAAGAGACCTCAGTCTTCAGTGGAATCTCTCGCAGAAGAAAACATGTATTGCTTACTAGCGGGAAGTACCCGGCGTTGCCCGGGCGAAAAAGACAGACACACACACATCGACTTACACACAGACATCGACCCACACACATAGAAGCACATCGACTTACACGCACACACACACTGTATTGCTTATGGGGGGTCGATAAGTCTAGCACCAGCACTGACCCCGCAGCAGTCTCTTAACAACACCAACAAAGCACTCAACACATGAGTCAAAGGCTATCTGTGGCCTTAAAAAGAAGAAACAATTTTAAATAGGTGACGTTTCGGCCAATGGACCTTCTTCATAGCAAACAAACCAACCGTCTGTAGGAGTGGTTCGTAACCTGGGGTGCATCCACCCCCTGGGGTGGGGGGGGGATGCGAGACATAGCCAGACCTTTTTTTTTAGAAGGTAAATCATCGAAACACAAATTAAGCACGGACATTTAAGTACAACGACTTTGTTTCATCAAATCCTATGTATTTACTGCCTATATTTCTTCCTGCTTCAGCAGTCCGCCTGCCGTATTTTTTTCACCTAAAGACGATTGCTCGTGTTGCGATCGAAACGTCGTGATTTGTTGTTGTTGCTATCTACGTGACTTTACCGAAAGACCCAAAGAGTATTTAATTCCTGCAGTCACGAAAGCTTTAAGTAAAGATGATACATTTGTTTTACGATTAAGAACCCAAGGGGCGCAAAGCTACAGTGAAGGTTAAGAACCACTGTTCTATATGGTCTACGCACCCAACAGTATCTTAACAACACTCAACACATGAGTTTAAAAATACAATGTGTGGCCTGAAAAACAATTAAACAGGTGACGTTTCGGGCAACGGGCCTCATTCACGGCCAAGGCCGTAACCATGGAATCAGAAAAAAAATCTAAATTTGAAAAAAAATTCCTGCCATTTACTGCCTAAAATCCAGATGTGGCCAAGGTTTAGAAAATTGTTTTTATTTACATAGCATAGCAATTGTTATTTTAAAAAAGTATTGTTTCTAGCAATATATTGGGGGGGGGGGAACATTTTGACTGTATTTGAATATTGGGGGATGTGCCCCCCTCCCAATATATATTATAATTACGGCGTTGTTCACGGCACGTAAACCAAGCGTCTTGCGTGATCGACACGGAGCAGTGTCTACGGGCGTGTTGGCTGACACGTTCCTCCTCTTTGAATGATGCAACGCGTTCGGTCAACAAAGGCCACGTGGCCTGGAAATTCCCATCTGGGGGATTTCCACTTTGCAGGTTCTCTCGGTAGTACTGCGACTGCTGCCATCTGTTTCCGCAAACACCCAAATTGTCACCAAAGCCAACAGCTGCTGCTCCACAAGCGTCGACGATGTAACCCAGAGTAAGTCTTGTTTTCTTTATTCCAATTAATATGAAGTACTGTGTGTGTATATGCACACACACATGGGGTGATCAATTTATAGATACCCCACTGGTTTCGCATGTTCGTCACAAGGGGTGATTGCAGTTATGTATCGGTCTAACTTTATTGTTACAACTGTTTACTAAGTTGTAGGCGACTATTCGGACGTGGAGGCTTTTGAATGCATTAGGTTTTTTTGACATACATCCACCATATACTTTTATTTAGTAGGGTATCTTATAATTAGATCAGCCTGTGGAATACAACTCTGGACACTATGCATGGCAAGGGCATTGATCACGCGTTTTGTAGAGTCTAGCACCGTAACAGTTAATTGTATAGTATATCTGAATAATAATTATTTATCGTAATAGCAAGTTTGATATTGTAATACACGATTGTGCCGAACGAAAATAAATATGTGTGTATTGTATGATTTATTTTTGAATGCATGTCCATACAAGACAACGTAGCTTACATGATCTGAACGTGAAATGCGTTCGTGGTAAAATAAAAATTTTAATCGTGTTCGTATGCTGAACTTCTTTCGCACCGTACGTAGCCAACTGTAGGTGCGGGCGGGCGGGGGGGACAACACTATATTTGTTTTCCATTAAGCAAGTGTTTGAACTAGGAGCGATCTATAACACCCATAGACCTACAATCGCTTACAACTCTGCGAATTAGGTATTTGCATGATGCAATGCTATTGTGAGCGTATATTTTACATTACGCATAACCCGTCCGATCTAACATTTTCTTCCAACAATCCTATCAAGGAGCGTCTCGCTAATTACATACCCAAGCAGCAAGTTTCGCGTTCCCTACACTGAGCTGACACGCGACACAGACGTTCGTTGTTGTTTTTGAACTGATTGCTGTTTGTGTCGCTTGGGGTCACTTCGGTCCGCCCAGGTTACTCTTTAAAATGCCACCGTACGGATTGACGCCGGGCGCATGAGTTCTCACCCCGGGTTAAACTAAATAAACTTGAAACTAACCTTCTTACAAGATATTGGGGTTTTTTTTTGTTTTGTTTCAATCTTACATTATTAACAGTCGCATTTGAATATTTGGTGAATCGATGTTAAGTTTTTTTTCATTATGGAAAGTTACAACTTCCAAAGTTATGTATATAGTTTTTTTTAAATCTCAAAGCTATTTTCACATCTGCCGAGGCTAATCACGGAGTCGCAACTAAAGGTGGGAACAGGTCCACTGCGGGCATGGAACATCTTTAAGCGGCTGCGGCGGCTTGGTGAGGTCCTCATCCAGCAGTGGAGAAAATTATGGCAGTATAATGAATCGCGTCTGTTGTCTGCCGGCCGAATGGCTCTTGAAAAAGAGCTTCTTAGCTGGGCTTTAATTGGGTAAAAGGAACCTCTGATGATGATGATAATTCTTCTTCTGATGCACAAAACAAATTAAAGTATTTGGTTTTCATGGGTTGCCTGTGGCAATGCTATTTCTCAGCTTTCCCTCTGTCTATAATGACCGTATTCTCTGTCTTAATGGCCATATCGTCCAGAATACAGTATAAGACGCATACGTTCCCCAGTAATTGAAGTCAAGGGTTTAGAATTTGCCGTCAGTTGTGTGTAACTATATTTGTACTGTGCAGTGGTACCTCGGTATAACGTCGTTAATTCGTTCCAGAAGGTTGGAGGACTTACACCGAAAACGACGTTTACCAAACGAATTTTTCCCATAAGAAATTAAGGGAAAGGAAATAATCCGTTCCAGAGTATAAGAAATTATATTTTATATGGCATATTATACATTAATGTGGTTGTATAACATAATGTAGACACTACTTAGTACTAAAATGCATACATACATTAAAATAAATGCATAAATAAAAATAAAATGTAACATCACTTTACCTTGCTGAGAGGAGTTGATAGCCTACGAGGATGGTGGCGAGGAAGAGGAGGAGGAGACTGAGGAGCGGCGCTTTGTTTCAGTCGTGAACGGGGGTACACGCGGGTACGCGGCGACTCATCCCGACCCATACAAGTTCTAGCAAGCGCGTCCTATCCCAAGCAAGACGTCGTATCCCAACACATTTTTTTTCTCTCGTCAAAACACGACGTATACCAAATTCGACGTATTCCAAAGCGGTCGTATACCGAGGTATGACTGTAAATCCTTACTGACCGCGGTCACACGTTTTGACTGCATCTTTACATTTTCCTGCATGTGTTTGAGACAAATGAATCGATTGGCGGTAGCCCCGGTCACCGGAAAATATTGGTGGGCCGGGCATAGTTTAAGGATTTTTTCTGGGAGCATCGCTGGTATTACCCTGTCCTGCCGGAGGGCGACGCTGGGAGCGATGATGATGACGATGTCGATCTCGCCAGCACGACCATGATCGCCGGCCGTACCGAGCGAGCGCCTGGTGGGCCATTGCCTCCAAGTGGTCTCCCAAAGACAAGGGGGTGGCCGCCCCCGTAAGAAGCAGAACGTGCTGGGGAAATGACCAGACCAGCATCCCGATGTACTTTCAAAACAAGCAATAAACAGCCATTGCCACGCACAAATCTCCAGCAGCCCCACTTTTTTATGGGTGTTTTGCGTGTGTTTTTTATTTCCATATTTGGCGTGCGCATCGGGCTCAGTAACATCTCCCGTCTTCATAGGCCTTCTGGTTTCGGAGTTATGGAGGTTTTGGCACCCCCGGGTCACGATGCTGACCCGGGTCACCGCCGATCGATTCAAATGTTAAAATGCAACAACGCCTCGAGGCTTATTACAGTCGTGCGCGTTGTACGCGTTCCCCCCTTCTACGTCGTTTCGCAAATACGTCGTCGCTTTATGAGCACCGCCACCCGATTTGCGTCGCTTCAACCCCACACTCACGTCGCTGAGAGCGCCTCTCAGCCTTCACCTCCACCTACTGTGTAAGTCGCGTCTTTGATTGACGTCGTTTCGATATTCGTCGTCGCACCTTTCAGGAACGCATCCCCGACGTAAACCGGGGTGTTGCTGTACCATGACCAGTTGACTCATTTTGCCACGATTTGTCTTGTGGCGTCGCTGTTAAAATTACAGTGGAGAGCAGCTGATGATACTGTCGCAACGTTCAGAGGGTTACGGTCAGTATGCATTGAAACAAACGCAGGTTTATTGAAATGTTTTTCGGAATTTTTTTTTAAAGAAATAATTCATAACATGCATTCGATAATGTATCGCTACGGAAGGATACTGCTACATCTAAGCTGGACCCAAAGAGTGACCAACGTAGCAGGAAGGAAAAGGTTTCACGAAGGAGAAGACGACAACCAGCTGATGATGATGATGATGGAGGCGGTGACGAGAAGGAAACTGGCACTATGTGGACACGCATATGTGGGATAGACAATAACGGGAAAATTAAAAGTGTGGTGTTCGGAAAAATTTAAGGAACCAGAAAAAGGGGAAGACCTCGCGGAGAATGGCTTGACGATAACTTGGGAAGAGATCGGTGCCGGACAAGACGCAGCACAAGACAGAGAAACGTGGGAAAAAATTACGTGATGATGATTAAAAAACTTTTTTTTAATTGAAAAGTTATTCGTATTTTTACAAGTATACATAAAAACTAAAAACATTACGAAACAATTCGATTGATATTTTTTTTGTGGGTACTACCACCTCTTCCAAGACTTATCCTGGCCCAGCAAGCAGGACTGGTAGTTGGAAAATGTCTTGTGAACTATCAAACCTTATTCTTGGTTCTATCGGTAAAGTCACGTAGAAGGGAAACAATCCAATAATAAAAAAATATAAAACAATAAAATTCTCACGACGTTTCCAACCTTTGCCTCCAATATATCTGAGCAGCGACAAAGAAGAGGAATGTCATGCTTGATAATAAACATACACCAACAATACCGCTGGTGTGTCCGCACTCAATGAGGCTGAATTATAGAATGCAGGCAAATCCTCGGTTTACGTGCTTTTGTGGTGCGCCGTTTATTGAATAAACGCGCGCTTTGTATTTAGACCTTTTATTGACATACGCGAGGCAATTTTCTGAATAACGTAATTCGCAACGCGACATACGCCACCCCTAGCCTGGCACCGCGACCCAATGGCATTGCCACAGTGCCGGATTATCCTAGTAGCAAAAGTAGCTACATGTGTAGTAGCTATGGGCCCCGCATTTCCAAGGGCCCCGCGCTCAATGCTTTCAAGCTATCAATTCCGATTAATTGATTCTGCACTTGCTCTATTACTATAGTACTATACCGCCTTCAACTTTTATGAACGACTGGGTGTTTAAGGTTAGCGATTTGTCGTGTTATCTGGCTGTAAAGCAAACATAAAAATACAATTCCTTGACTATGCAAGTAAAAAATGTTTGTTTTAATATTTGTGTTTTTTTTATATTTAGGACCCCTTTATAACATATGCTACAGGCCCCGCACTAGCTTAATCCGGCACTGCATTGCTTGCAGCCGCCAGTGAAAGTACGATAACCGGTGTGCACCTAGCCTGGCACAAACGCCGTGGTGACGTCACCGCCACTTAGTGGCGAATGGCGGTTGTTGTTGTGCTATCCAGTAATCGATCATTCATCATCCGGCCTCACAAATTCGTCGAGCCTTGATCGCTCTCGTCGATTCGTTGGCTTGCGATGCATGGATCGAGTAATCCCACCGGCATTCGGATTCAATTACAGCGCCTTCTGCCAGCAGTGGCGTGAGCAAGAAATTGCAGGGCTGCACCTTTAACCGTTTGTTAATGAATACCTATACAGCCTAGCTTTTAAAGACGATGAAAATGTATTTTATTCGGTGGAAATTATCCGAGGTCTTGCAAATGAACGCGTACATCAATAATGAAATAGCATACGTTGCAAAGATGCAAACGTGTCTCTTAACATTGTTGACATTTGTTGACATTTGACATGGAAGGGAACAAGCGGGCGGTCCAGCCAACCGTTCATCCGAAAGCGACGAGCTCAACCAGTTTTGCAGGAGGCAGGGATGCGG